GACTTTATTGTTGTCTAGAGAGTTAAGTATTAATGGAAATTCTACAGTGTAGTAGACCAAGGATACTGAAATAAAAGCAACAATAAAAACCCCACTGTTTAATAGAACAAGACAAGAAGATATTCCATGCACACACACACACACACACACACACACACACACACACACAAACACAAAGAGTTTAAATCTGTCAATGTTAGAAAGTGGCATATGGATTGAGACTAAGAAAAGAATGGAAGAATTCCACTGGATTTTACATCTAGCCAAACAGATTCAACAACAATTTGATAGATACATATCATAAATAACATCAATATAATTTATATACATATAGAATTTACAATATAAGAGAACAGGTTCAACAAATGATCTCAAAAATAAAAAATAAATCTATTACTTTCTAGAAAGGAATTTTTAAAGGAGGCTCTGAGAGTTTAATAGATAGACCTACTTTTGCCAGCTAGGCATAATTACTGGGGAGTCAAATTTAAGCAAAGACTTAAAAAAATGAGTTTTAGGAAGGCAGATAAAGGAATGGAAATCAGAGGCGATAGCACATGCAATGATTCTGATTAGAAAAGAATGAATTTAAACACATAAAAAATGCAACTCAGTATGGCTGAGGTACAATGAGCAAGAGCTCAGTCCACTCACAAGGCTAATACCTAAAATTAAGAAAAGTTGGCAGATGCCAGGCCAAAATGTGACTGATCGGTTAAGATCAGTTAATTCTGTGGTGGGAAGGAATATGCCTCGGTGGGCAAAGTGCTTGCTGTACAAACACAAGGAGTTCCCAGCACCCATGGAAAGAGGCACAGAGGCACATAACTGTAAAGGCAGCACTGAGGAGAGCAAAGAATGGCAAATCCTGGTGTCAAACTGGCCAGCCAGTTAAGCTGAAACAGTGAGCTCCAAGTTCTGAGAGACCCTGTCCAAAAACAAAGGCACAAAATGACAGGAAAAGATAACCTAATGTTGAATCCGGCTTCCCCACATGCAGACATAAACAAGAACACCCACTCACACATAGCCATACATGTATATATACTGTATATGAACGATAAAGGGAGGAAGGAAAAAGGGATTAAAGGAGTAAAAACACTGTGTGATTAATATTTTAAGAAGTAACTAATAAGATGCAATACAAATACATTCTAGATAGAGGCACTAGGATGAGACTGATTATGAGAAGGGCTCAAGTTTAAAGTAGGACACACAGCTAAAAGTATATGGTAACAATTACAGGAAATAATCATGCTGCCTCAGATTATGGCAGTGGCAGTATAGATGAAGTGCAGATCTGAAGTTTATTTCAGTTGTGACTAGGAAGTAGTTCATGGCCTTTTCTTGATCAATTTCAATGCATAATTTAAGACAGAAACCTGATTTCTATTGGTTGAACAGTGAATGAGAAGGAAGGCAATAGAGAACAAGTGGAGACTTCTGAAGAAGCTGATGATAGGTAACAGAAAGAGGGCAGTAACTAGCAAGATCCTTGGGGCAGTGGTACATTTTAATTCAACAATCTACCCACCCATTTTAGGCAGCAAGTGACAAAATTTATTTTCTTGAAGCGAAGATCATGGTAGACTGACAAATTGAGGAATCAAGAGAAAAACACAAGTATAATAAGCAAAAAAAAATGCTGTCAGAATTAGATGGGATAGTAATGCCCACAGCAGAGATAGGGGAAAAGTGCATGTACTAAAGCATCTATCTCATCGTGCTCTTCCCCTTCCCTTCCTTTAGTAAATCACAGTAGCATAAAGCACTGACTGTGAATTCAGTATCTAATATTTACTATACAACCTTGGAACAGTTACCTAAGTTTAGTTGGCCTCAGTTCCTCAGCAGTAGTACAGATATAGTAATAGTGTCAAACTTTACCTTACAAATCTTAAGAGAACACAAATATTTTGACTTGCTTGAACTTGTGTAGGGATTACACAGGTGCTGTGAATTGATACTGGCAATGGTAAGTTGCCCACACCTCTCAGGGTAACTACACAGCCATGTAACTGGACTCAGTGGTTATTGATAACAAAAAAGAGGACATGAAGTTGGGAAGGAGATGAGGGTTAGCACTAGAGGGGATTTGACAGAGGTAATAGTGGACAGAATGATTAAAATATATTGTATAAGTGTATGAATTTTCCAAGGAATACATTAAAATATGTCCCATGTAAAAAGGATAGCATATAATACAATTTAGTAAGCTTTTGCAATCAGTAACACTATGATGGTACGATTAGTAATAAAAATTAGCCATTTTCTTTTCCAATGTTTCACAAAGAATGAATAAATAAAAAAGTGGGGGAGAGGGTGAGAACAGAACTCTATTCTGCAGTACTTGCCTAGAATGTGGGAAATTCCAGGCTTAGTCCCCAGAGCAACAACAACAAAAAATAGCATTAATCAAAGAACAATGTTGAGTAACTACAGTCTTAGTTACTTAAGAGACTGAGACAAGAGAATAGCTTGAAACCTTAATCAAAGAACAAAGTTGAGTAACTACAGGCTCAGTTACTTAAAAGACTGAGACAAGAGAATAGCTTGAAACCTTAATCAAAGAACAAAGTTGAGTAACTACAGGCTCAGTTACTTAAAAGACTGAGACAAGAGAATAGCTTGAAACCTTAAGTTTGAGACCAGCCTGAGTGATATAACAACAAAGCAACTTTGGAGATAGAAGAGCCACTGGAGGTCCTGAAGTGCTTTTGTTATACCACTGGCAGGAAAGAGTTTGTGGTAGATGAAAAGCCCAGATACACAGACAGAAGAAGCAAGGGTAGGAAATGAAAAACAGAATTCGAAAAGAGAACTTGATTTCTATTTTCTGAAGTCAGGGAAAAACTGAAGTGTTTGACACTGAAATCATAAAAACACATTTTTAATATGAGTATAATAAATACCATTGGCAATGGGTGAAGAAGGTTGAGGAAAAGGGCTTCCCCAAGTCAGGGATTCTTTCATTAGTGAGAATGATAATACTTTCCAAAGCACCATTGGGCAGCTGATATAAGTTTAAGGGTTAAATAGAATGACAGTACATTCTCACAGAATTAATTTAATTTGATAATATTTTAGTGAAAATTTTACTTTTCTATCCTTTTAAAATATCTGACTCACACTTTTGTCTAAAAAAGTAATTCAACATTCACTGCCTATTTTAAATAAAAGATTGTACATGACTTTAAAAGAATAAGGTTATTGTTATTATTAATTATTAAGGCTATCATTATATAATGAATAATATATTCTTTAAGAAGAGTGTGCCTAAGCTTTATTTAGTAAATCCCAATTGATACGCTTAGGCAATTTACATAGTATAAAGTGCTTAGTAATCTCCTAGATTCTCTCTGACCTCACCTCAGTAGAGACAGAGCAAAATACAGTGAGAGTAAACATGGTGACTACGAGAATTCATGTATATACAGCCTGAAATATTTATGGTAATGTGCATAAACAAGAAATCTCTTCCATTTTCTATTTTTGCCTTTAGTTCAGAAGGTATATTGCTTTTTATGCTCCCCAATTTCATTTCCTCAGTGAGGTACCAAGGATATTCCTCTTGAAGGACTTCCTTGGCAAACTAATACATCTTCCTAGATAAACTGCACTAAGGAGAAAAAAATGGTTTCTGAGAAATTGTGTAGTGTACCTACTGTAAAACTCATAACCATCATGATGCAGCTGAAATCTCAGATGGTGTAAAGCCCTGCTTCAATTATAAGATGGATTTGAGCTGCTTAGGTTCCAAGTGTGGACTCGGGGCTACAAATTTTATTATTTAGCACTCTTCTAAAATGACACTAGTTAATAAATAATACAGAGGCAATTCAGTTGACTAATAGATCTGATTTAAAAATAAGAGAAATATGTTACCCAGGTCCATTATATATTCTATTTGATCCCAAATTTGCTCATCTAGTTTCATTTCAAGGATTTGACAAATCTTTCTACCTCAATGTAGGCAACAGAATGCCCTAAAATAAAGAATTTTAAATATGGACAAATGTTCATTGTATATGCTAAAAAGAACATACTCACTCCCATCTAACAGAGTTTCATATGAACAAAATTTTAAAACTGGTAGGAAATCAGATCAATTCTAACATGTAACTATTTAGAAACATTATGAAATATTTTGAATGAAGCAGATGCTATTTGAAAAACAGTTTGATTGATAATCTAAAAATCCTTTTTTACAAATGGAAAACAATCAGAAAAGCAGAGTAAACCAGAAATTTATATAACAAAGAAATCTGTCCTGAACACCTGAGTTAAAAACAAGATAGCTTTTAGGGGTTAGGGATTTAGCTGAGTTGTAGAGTGCTTGCCAAACAAGCACAAGGATTGGGTTCAGTTCCCAGCTCTGCAAAAAGATAGGTTTTATTCACAGAAACTAATTGCAGTGTCCAGTTATCTGAATAGCAGGTTTGTAGTATTTTAAGATATATGATGATATTCTTTATACTTAGTCATTTAGTGTTATTTCAAATGATGGGGATAAGGAAAAATGATTAAACCACATGAGGCACCTTTTAAGTTATTTATCGGGATGGAAAAGACATATTGCAATCTTTCAATCAATTATTGACATTCTAGAAAATTTGAAATTACTTGTGAGTTTTCTTTTAAAATGCATATAGTAAAAATAGTTGCTAGTTTTTTTAAATTTCCCTAGATATTATTTTCCTATTTCAGCCTAAGTTTTCTGGTGGCTAAATTCTAACATTCAGATCTGAAGGGAAGGAAACTAGCCAATGTATTACAGCATACTATTTTGCATGCATTGATATCATTAAATATCAGCACTGTTAAAGAGAATATCCCATAATGCTTTGATGATTCTGTGACTTTAAAAAGTAATGCAGGTGAAAATTCTTTTTAAGTCAATATTACATTTAATTATATAGTTATAAAGTAAAGGAAATCAATTAATATTTTTCTTCTGTTCATGAGAAGTGTATTCTTAGGCCTTTGCGATCAATACATACCACAACACCAAATTGTTCAGGCTCACAGAGATCATCATATTCATTCTTAAGCTGTGCTAGTTCTCGGAGTACATTCTGCTCAGGAAGGTGTTTAACAAGATTCTAAAAAAAAAAAAAAAAGCAAAAAAGTTAGTGTTCGTAAGTGATCAGTAAGATTTTTAATAATTCAACTAAACATATAAAAACAACCAACCTTTCTAATGAAGAAAAACTGTATAATCTAGGTACAAAGGGAAGTTGTGTCATTATATTAAAGAATCATACCTTCTGTTATAGCTATATATCACCAAATCAGATAATCTAGAATAAAAAAAAACTAATCTATACATAGAAAAAGAACATACTTAAAAATAAATGGAAAATCTAAATATACTGATAAATAAAAGACATTAAATCAGAAATCAAATACTTCCAAATAAAGAAAAGGCCAGGACCTTCTGGCATCAAATTTTTAAAAAATGAATTGTAGAAAACAATTAAATTACAAGTATTACCATTTTTTCTCAAAATGTTTTAATATAATGAAGAGGACAGAGTATTTGCTTAGTCTATGAAACCAGCCCTATTGATACTAATAAAAAATAGCAGAAGAGAGTAAACCTATCAATAACACTAAATATTGATAATAAACACCTATTTAAAGGTACTTTTGGTATTTACCCAATCACTCTGACGAGAATGATGAACACTAGGATGTATGGGAATAATGAAAGTACCCATGATTTCCTTAATTTTAATAATGGCTTTCCAAATTTTTTTGGCATTGTAATTTAATGTGAATTTACTTCAGATTACTCATAAATGGCACATTTTCAAGTCTTATCTGTCAAACTCTTCCTTTTATTAGAGAGTTTAATCCATCCATACTACTAGTTTCACCAGTTTTGTAGCTAAAACTCGGTTACTTATTTTCCATGTGACTTACGTGCTAAATAAACAAAAAAAGAAAATGGGTATACACAGAAAAAATATTTTAAAAATAATAAAGTCTTTAAAGAAAGAATAAGGTAATATAAAAAGAACAAGCCACTTGAAGATAGAAAATACTCAGGGTGCCTGGAATCTGTATGGTGTTTTGTTGACTTTGATTTTTTAAATGTTAATGTACAACAAACAACAACTGCTGAGAGACATTGGAATATGGAAACTGCTAAATTAAATCAACCTATATATTTTAAGAATGTCTTATCTTCAGAATAGAATTCCAAAAAATATGTTTCATTGTGGGAGAGGTTTTGATTTTGTTTCCACAGGAAACCAAAAGCTATGGATTTCTTCAAAATTAATAAAGACCAGATTTGATTGGAGGAGACCTGAAAATCTTGACTACAGACATAAAGAAAGAAACAAAAGGAAAACTACAATACAGGTGACATATATGCTGATCCCTTAATATGGGAACAGTTTTGAGACTAGATGAGACATGATAAATCTTGTTGGCTATAGATTCTTTATGATAAGTCATAAGTCATATCATTCATTCCATGCCATTCTTTTGTATGCCATGGACAGAGATTTGATTATTGCCAGGGACAGCATATAAGATGCCTGACGTGCTGCCAGCAGAGATTGGAGAAAAGAGGATCCAAGATTTTGGACCATCAACACTCTGTGCGTTCCCCTCCGGATCTTCTGCTTAGCATGCCTATAGAGGGCCAAGGCAGAAAGGCTTACATGTCCCAAGGTCATGATTTATGGTGTGCATGTCATGTCTTCCTCCATATAAATACTTTTTGTAATACTAGTCTTTTTCTCCTATCTGATCTTCATGTTCTGTGTTCCTAGAACAATGGTAATATCTGAGATACAAGAAGGGAGTGAAGTAAATTTCACAGGAAATTATACAGAGATGGTCACCCGGCTGGGGTTAAGGCAATTATGCAGTGCATTAAAAAAAAAAAAAAAAAAAAAAAAACCCTGCGGCCTGGGGAAGCTTTTCAGGCTTGGATAAACTGAACCAAATGTATGGTCAACAATAGCACATGGTATGATGTGTATCAACACACTGGACTCAAATTGGCCATGATGAATAATTCAGTTTCAGAGGATATTCCAAAGGCATTGTGTAATTGTGTAAAACTTGAGACCCTAAGGGGTATTGGCTGAAGACTGTGGATGGAGTAACATATAGATGGGATGACAAACTAAAAGTTTGGGAACCTAGAATAAGAGGAAAATGGTGGCTTCTACCCAGAATGGGAGAGAGCAACTTTAATCCAGATATTTTGATTCCTCCTGAAGGAGTGTGGAGACAATGTGACAATGGTTGGAGTCATTGCTGCGAGATTTATTGGGTTCCTAGATTAAAAAGATCTGCCAAGAAAGGTGAGATTCCTTTATAGAAGCTCTGAAAATTGGATCAGGTCTTCCTTGGAATTGTTGGGATATAGAAGGACAAAAGTTGCTGACTTGCAGGGGCAAATTTCTTGTCTGAGGTCATGTGGCCCACCAGTCATGGGGCTTTGTGTTTGCAGAGGCTGAGGAGGAACTTAGATGACTTCAGGGTTCTTGAGGTCAGAGCAGGCTGTCTGAGAAGGAAATGACTGTCTGGTACATTGACCACTGTTCTTATTTTTGCCTTTTTTGAGAAATTGCATGTTGATAGCCTCTGGGTCAAGTGCTCAGAAGATTGTATAACCATTAATAATAAAAATAGATTATAGTTGCTTTGGTGTTAAGTCTGGGATAGCTCCTGTGTCTAGTAAAAGATGATGAAGATTATATTGGTGATTTTCTAAGAATAACCTTTAGAATCATGAGAACATTTTGTATTCAGTGATTTCCTCTTTTCTTTCTGTTCCCCATTGCTTATGATAATAAAAGACTGAGGTTACCAGGGCAAAAGCAGAAACTAGAGAAGCTATGGAAGCTGAAGAAGATGTAGGAATGAGGCTACTTAGCAACTACAGAAGCCCAAAGTGGCCTGTGAGCTTGCACGACCACTGTCTCTGAGTTGTTACTGAGCCTTCCTGGTATTCCATCCTTTAGACCCCTGAAACTGCTGAGGCTGGTCCCCGGCAGGTTATACCATCCAAAAAAAAAAAAAAAAACTTATTAACAGATGCCTTTTACCTACTCAAACACAGTTCAAAAAATCATATCTATGAGATGGGTAGAAAGGGGAGATATGTGAAGAGCATGACTTTGGCATATATTTAATGAAGTACATAAAAAACAAATGGTCCTGGGTAGAAGCTCAGTGGTAGAGCCTGTGTTAGTATGTTCCTGGGTTTTATTCTAACCTTTACCTATGTGTCACATCCCCAAGAAAAGGAGGAAAGGAAAAGCCATGCATCCATGATTTTCCATAAAACATGTATTCTCGGCTCTTAGAAAGTTTCTGTACACCAAGAGGTGAACTCTTCTTCTCTCTACACAGTTACACCTAGAGTAGATTTACACAGGAAATGGGGAAAATCACTCTCAGCTGCTACATGGAAATGAAAAAATTCATTTGAAGAATGTGCAAATTGTTTGAGGAGGTGCCTAGAAATGCTCAATATAGAAGAGGCTTCTGCAAAGAAGTTCTACGATAGTGACCAAAACAAAAATCAATTAAATAGAGGTATTCTCAGATAGATCAGACAGTTATTGTAAAATTCATACTATCTAAGCAATCTTCATTTGATTAAATAAAATAGCTCATGAAATTAGTGTTTCATTTACATTACATCTACTTCTGGTTTGTAAATAAATGGCAAAGGTAGGTTAACAGTTCATATAACAACTACATGTGTAGCATGGGAGAAAGCCAGTCATAGTGTAGAAACTGGAAACAAATAACAAAAACCCTTTAAATGCGATATATTCTGACAAATTACTAGGTGATAGGCAAATGGCCTCCAAGTTTTAAGATATGATCCATTCTATATATCTCTCCGCTGCTGCTGCTTAATAGCATGCTTTTTCTCCCTCACCAATTTCAAAATTGGTGTTTAAAATATCAATTCTGCGTGAGAATGAAAATTTTATTCTAGAAAATGTCAGTGAGTTGAAGTTTACTAAGAAAACAACACAGGAGTAAGTATGCCTCCAAATGAGGAGATTTCCCCCCTCATCTTTTATGCATCACAAATTCACTTTCTGATAACTGTCAGTGTTATTTGAAGAAATTTCTCCTAACAGACCACAGGGTACTAACTACTTTTTACATCTATGCAATTACTCTATAATGCTTCCAAAACTTTATTTCTTTTAAATGTTAATTGCACATGTAAAGGTTACTTAAGTAAAGGTATTGAACCATATTGCCCTTTCCTTCTTGACAAAACATAACCTTTCTTTTTTTGTCTTATATCTCATTAAGTCATTTCAGTAGTAGAGAACTGAGTTAAGTTCACTCTGATTAAGTCCATCATTTACCAAATAAATGGACCAGGGCCAATATTTCTTTTAAAAATGTATTATTGCAGTATTTTCTAGCCATCTACAGGTGGATAAATTAAATTAAATTCTATTGATAAGTATACACATACATTACTGAAGACAAGATGTTTTTTTTCAAGCACTTGCCTAAGTTTCTGTCATTTTAACACAACTTCCTCCACTTGCTTTAACAGAAAATTAAATTCCTTAACTATTATTTGTTATTAGGTCATGTTTTTCAGCACTGTTTTATGGCATACAGCTTAAGTAGTTATGAATGCAGGTGTGCATATGTGCGTAATAGTTTTATGGCAACTTGATACAAGCTAAAGACATCTGAAAAGAAGGAGCCTCAGTTAAGAAAATGCCTCTATCACACCAGGTTGCAAAGCCTGTAAGTCATTTTCTTAATTAGTGATTGATATGGAGAGCCCAGCCCATTGTGGGTAGTGTCATTGCTGAGATGGCGGTCCTAGGTTCTATAAGAAAGCAGGCTGAGAAGGACAAGAGGATGAAGCCAGTAAGCAGCACCCCTCCATCGACTCTGCATCAACTCCTGACTCCAGGTTCCACCCCTATTGAAACTCCTTTGCAAACTTTCTTTGAGGATGAACAGGGATGTGGAAGTATAAGCCCATTATTTAACCCTTTCCTCTCCAACTTGCTTTTAGGTCATGGTGTTTCATAAAGCAATAGATACTCTAACTAAGCATATTTAAGGCTTTTACATCATATTT